ATCAGCAAGCCCTCAAAATGAGGGACTATCACCCAAACAATTTGTTAAAACCTCATTGGACTGTCACTGTGGCCGGGGGAAAGGGAAAATTAACTGTAATGTTTGCACGCGAAAACCTCAGATCCAGCTTTGCTTCTGCTTAGGGTGGATAAAAATCAATGATTTTTTTTTTAAAAAAAATAAAATCGGATTTTTAAAAAATTTAAATCAGATTTTTTTCTATTTAAATTGGATTTTTTTTTATTTTTATCAAATTTATTTTAATAAAATGCTTTCGGACTAAAAATCTATCTAAAGATAGATTTTTAAGTTACATTCATAATTTAGTTTATTCAGCATGAAATGGAGCTTAGTTATGTAGTATGAGGCTGTATATTCTGCAATATTGGGACTGTCAGTCAATAGCAGGACAGAGGAGGAGCCACTGTGGGACAGAGACGACAGTTGCTCTTTAAAAATTATAATTTAAATTGAGTTGATTTAAATCAAGCCTTTTTACTAGTGATTTAAATCATGATTTAAATCAACTTGATTTAAATCAATTCCACCCTGCTTCTGCTGTAATCACTTTGGTTCTAATAGTTAGTTTATTTGATTTGTATACCGCCCTACTCCCGAAGGACTCAGGGCGGTGAACAGCCAACAATAAAATACATAGATACAAAAAATTTAAAAACCAGATAAAATCAAATTAAATCATTTTGGCCCAGACAGATTAAAACACTCCAATAATTTAAAAACAGATTAAAATTTACATATTTAAAAAGGGAAGAGATCAGGCCAAGCCCGCCTGATGGAATAAAAAGGTCTTCACAGCACGGCGGAAGGTGCCCAGATCCGGGATCCTCCGTATCTCCGGGGGGAGCCCATTCCAGATGGTAGGTGCCCCCACAGAGAAGGCTCTTCCCCTAGGGGCCGCCAGTCGACACTGTTTGGCTGACGGCACCCGGAGGAGTCCCTCTGTATGAGAGCGTACTGGCCGGTGGGAGGCTATTGGTGGTAGCAGGCGATCCCGTAGATAACCAGGTCCTAAGCCATAAAGTATGTTCTGGGCTAAACATGAGTCTTTCTTTTCTGACTGACACTCGATCTCTTGCTTCCCAGCCAGGGCAAGGCAGCAGCCGACATGACAACCAGCCAGAAGCACCGGGACTTTGTGGCTGAGCCGATGGGCGAGAAGCCGGTTGGCACGTTAGCGGGGATTGGAGATGTCCTTGGCAAGAGGCTGGAAGACAAAGGGTTTGACAAGGTATCCTTTGAGCCCCTAAATCTGAAAGCCAAACCAGGATCGTAGCTGCAGAGAGGCCGATGCCGTTTTCGTTTCCTGGGTAAATCATTCTGAGCCCTTGAGAAATGTTAGTGGGGTCCCTGTAACTTTGGGGGAAGCAGCCTCGCTTTTCTACGGTCTGTCCCAGGGGAAGAGCCGATCGTGGCCCAACCGGAAGAGCCAGTCTGGAGAGACCTAGAACTAAGCCAGAGACAAGAGGTTGGTCAATGCTTCGCCCATCCTGTTCCCAGGCTGCCCCCAGGAGACCCGGGGTAAAAGTGTAGTGCCTCCATTTCCAGTGCAAACTCACTTATTTGATAAATTCATATAGCCACACATAGCTGACTCTGGGTGACTGAAAACCTTTATAAAAAAAACTGCATAATAAAGACCTGTTTTTTAAAAAACCAGCCACCCTGCAAGGCGGCAACAGCACAATCAAATCAGTCACTTGATTGGCTCCTCTCCATTTGGGGCCCCAGGGGACCACCGGTAGAACCACGTTTTTAGAGCCTCGGAAAAAGCAGCAGGGTGGGGGCCAAAGTGCCTACAGCAGGACTAGAACTCACCGTCTCCTGGTGATTAGCCCACAATCACCCAGCTGGCTTTCATGCCTAAGGCAGGACAAGAACTTGCCGTCTCCTGGTGATGGAGCTAAAGTCAGCTTGCCATCTTTCATACCTAAAGCAGAATTAGAACTCACGATGAAAAGCGGAGATCTTCACAGTTCTGGGGTACCAGAACCTTTATTTGCTTTATTCATTGTATTTATTGACCTACTAAATTCCTGCGCTGCCCATCTCGCTATCCAACGACTCTTTAGCCTCCCCGTGGCTTTGTTTTACATCAGGGGTGTCAAACTCGATTTCATTGAGGGCCGCATCAGGGTTGTGTTTGACTTCGGGGGGGGCATGGCCAGCTCGATGTCACTCATGTGGGGGGCACTTGTGGTGGCTGAGGGATCTGCAGCCCTCGGCCAGTGAAAACAGAGCTCAGGAGGGCCACATACAGCTCTCCCGGACTCCATTTTCACTGGCAGAGGCTCCGCAGGCCGATCCTTCACTGTTTCTAGGGTGGCCCCACAGGCCGGACCCAGCCCGAGGGCCTTGAGTTTGACACCCCTGTTTTGCGCTCTGACACCAATCCCTTTTGCTCACTGCCTTCCCTTTCTTTCCTTTCCCTTCCCCTCCCTTGCACCCAGGCATACGTAGTGCTGGGCCAGTTCTTGGTGCTGAAGAAGGACGAAGACCTCTTCCGCGAATGGCTGAAGGATACGTGTGGAGCCAACGCCAAACAATCCAGAGACTGTCACGGGTGCCTGCGCGAGTGGTGTGACGCCTTCTTGTGAAGGTGGCGGGTCAAAGCCGGGTGGGGGCTCTGAGGGCTTCTGTAGGTAGCTGACCGTTGATCCATTCCCTGATCCTCTTCCGCAGAAACTCCCTCTCGGCTTTGCAGCATGCCCCAGGCTCCTTTCGGGATCTCCCTCTGAAAACTAGACAAAAACGATTGCGCCTTTTTAATCCCCCTCAACCCCGGCCCCTCCAAAGAGGGAATCGAGAAGGGCACCGTGTTCCGGTCTTGACCCCTGACTGGTTTTCCCCTTTTGTAGCTTCGTCTGTTGAATTCTTCCTTAGCACTTCCCTGCTGAATTCTCGCCTTTCCTGGGCTTGCAGTTTAAAACTCCTGGTTCCAAAAAAATTGAGATTTGTATTATGAAAATTGGGCAGAGGTTCTTGGTCTCTTCTCAGATCTCTGGGTAACTTGACACCAGTGTGGTTGAACGTCAGGAACCCAAATAACATTGCCATGTTTTTAAATCAATAAAAATCAGCTGTGTTTAAAATCCGGGGTGCTTGAAAAGTTATTGCGGGGGGGGGGTGTCTGCTTGTCAGCAGCATGCCTGAGGGTTACTGGAAGAGGTGTGGGTTGGGGGTAGATCCCATGTAGGGGTGTGTGGCAAGTCTGCCCCCCCACTCCCGGTTGCATCAGTCGCTGAGTTGAAAGAAAATTTGGGAGTTGCTCTCTTAATCTCACTATACAATAGGGGTGATCAACCTTTGCAAGATCTGTGGACTTCAACTCCCAGAATAGCTGGTTGGGGAATGCTGGGAGTTAAAGTCCACAAGTGATAATATTGCCAAGGATGGAATGACATCCACATGGAGGGAAGTAGGCAGTGGGGTGCCACAAGGCTTTGTCTTAGGTCCAGGACTCTTCAATATCTTCATAAACGACTTCGAGAAAAGAAGAGGAACTCATCAAATTTGCGGATGACACTAAGCTGGCAGGTATAGCCAACACCCCAGAAGACAAGCTCAAGGTCCGGATGGATCTCGACAGACTTGGAACACTGGGCCCTTTCTAACAAAATGAAATTCAGTTTAGATAAAAGGGAAGTCTTATTCTTGGGCAAGAAAAGCCAACTGTGTAGATACAGACTAGGTAAAATTTGGCTTAACTGTGGAAGGGACCTTGGAGTCCTAATGGACAAGGATTTAAATAGGAGCCAGCCGTGTGCAGCAGCTGCCCAAAAAAGCCAACACAGTTCTAGGCTGCATCAACAGAGGGATAGAATCAAGATCACGTGAAGGGTTAATACCGCTCTATAAAGCCTTGGGAAGGCCACACTTGGAATTCTGCATCCAGTTTTGGTCGCCATGATGTAAAAAAGATGTTGAGACTCTAGTCTAGAAAGAGTGCAGAGAAGAGCAACAAAGAGGATTAAGGGACTGGAGGCTAAAATATACGACGAATGGTTGCAGGAATTGGGTATAGGTAGCCTTGTGAAAAGAAGGACCAGGGGAGACAGGAGAGCAGTCTCCCAACATTTGAGGGGCTGCCACAGAGAGGAGGAAGGGGGTCCAGCTATTCTCCAAAGCACCAGAAGGCTGAATAAGCAGCAACGAATGGAAACTGATCAAGGAGAAGCAACCTAGAACTAAGGAGAGATTTCCATACAGTGAGTAGAATTAATCAGTGGAAAGGTTTCCCTCCAGAAGTTGTGGGGGCTCCATCACTGGAGAGAAGCGACAACCATTTGTCTGAAATGGTCTAAGGCAGAGGTCTTCAAACTTGGCAGCTTTAAGACTTGTGGACTTCAATTCCCAGAATTCTCCAGCCAGCTATGGTATGCTGGCTGGAGAATTCTGGGACTTGAAGTCCACAAGTCTTAAAGTTTGAAGACCTCTGGTCTAAGGTCTCCTGCTGGAGCAGGGGGCTGGATAGAAGACCTCCGGGGTCCCTTCCAACTATTATTCTACAGCCCCTCCCTCCCGGGAATCCGGACTACATGCATTTCACCGCAAAGAGGCTTAGCCCGGTTTCCGTCCCTCCTGCCTTTGCACGTGCAAAGGATCCCAACAGCCGCATTTACGCAAGACAGGCAGCTTCACAAAATCAAACCAGGGTTAACACAGAATCGGGGTTGGACCTCTCCTAGCCCAACCTTGCTCCAGCAGGAGACCTTATATAAGCGTTGCAATTGACCAGGTCGTTTGGAGGCGAGCCGGGGGGGGTTGCATCCCTCCCCAGAGCCGGCCGCTTTTGCGCGCAGGGAAGCCGAGCTCGCAAAGGCTACGAGCGGTGAGGACTGCAGCGGGGCGCCCGGGGGCGCCTGAGCTGCGTGCCGAGCACTGACCCAACAAAACAGGGGGCGGGCGGAAAGGAGGCCCCGCCCCCTTTCCCGGGTGGGGAGTGGGCAGCCGGGGGGGGCGGGGGAGGCGCTGCAGCTTGTCGGTGCCGCCGGCGGCTCAGTCGCTTTGGAGGATGGCGGCGGCGACGGCGACCGCGCTTCTCGGGCTGCTGCTGCTGCTGCTGCTGGCGGCGCCCGCCGCGCTGGCGGCTCCGGGCTGGGCTGTGCCGGTGGACGTGCGCGGGGACTCGGTGCGGGAGGCGGCCCGCTTCGCCCTGGCCGAGGCTTTCCCCCAAGGGCATCCCCGAGGACTGTGGGCGCTGCGCGGAGCCAGGACGCAGGTCAGCCGCCGGGACAGCGCTTGCGGGGGGCGCCAGGTTGGAGTTGCGCGCAGCCCAAGCCGGGGAAGGAGGGGAGGGGGGGAGGGGGCGACTACTGGACGGGCTAGCGGGGGGGTCTTTCCCCCCTCTTAGAAAATGGCTCTCCAAACTAGACCAGGGGGAGCCCCTCAATCTGGGCATTGCGGACTACACTTTCCATGAGCCCTTGCCAGCGCTTGAGCTGGTGGGAGTTGCGGTCCAAAGGGCCAGGCTCCCTTCCCTTCCAAGGCACCGAGACCCTTCCCTTGCTCCAGGATCTGCCTGGACCCCCATCCGGCCTAAAGTCTATTCAAAGCATGGGCAGAAGAATATGAATGTTCTCCTCTTTGCCCCCCACCAAGTACATTCTAAATCGGGGGTGTCCACTCTGGGGAGCTTGAAGAGCTGCAGACTTCAACTCCCAGAGTCCCCCAGCCAGCCAAGCTTGGCTGCCTGGGGAATTCTGGGAGTTGAAATCCTCAGGTCTTCAAGTTCCCCAGAGTGGACACCCCTGCTCTTGAGGAATTAGAGCCAATATCATTTGCATCCTTAGTGATGCAGGACGGAGAAGTTTTGCATCTGAAAAAAAAGTGCCGTCTCTTAATAGCCTGATGCTGAAGCCATACCGTATAACTTCGCACACCCCTGGTCTCCACAGAACTTGGATTCCAATGCCCATCATCTTTGGATCAGCCTCTTGGAATTAGAAGGCTTGTGACCCCCGTTTATCTGGCGAAAGCTCCTTGGAAAAGAGAGAGGGAAGAGGGTGCCAGGAGCTTCCTGCCCCCCCCCCTCCAATTGCCTGAAATGAAGCCCGGGATTCAGAATAATGTTGCTGGAGCTGTTGACTCCAATTAACGTTGATTTGGGTTCAGAGCTGAGCCTGGAGGATGGCCTTTTCACGGGCTTTGGATGTGTTATGTAAGAGGATTAAATCATTGACTAAATGCCACATGCGCCTCAGCTGACCAGCCAGCCAAAGAGTCCCTAAGCTGGTTGACCTCCTTTTTCTCTTCTTTTTTTTTTAGGGCAGGATTCCTGAGGTTCTGTTTTGTTTTATGGATTTTATTTTACTATATTTTATTATTTTGTGCTGTTTCATTTTAGTTCATTTTAGCAATAGCCCTTAGATATACCGCTTCACGGTGCTTTTACAGCCCTCTCTAAGCGGTTTACAGAATCAGTCTCTTGCCCCCAACAATCTGGGTCCTCATTTGACCCACCTCGGAAGAATGGAAGGCTGAGTCAACCTTGAGCCAGTGAGAATTGAACTGCTGGCAGCCGGCAGAATTAGCCTGCAATACTACATTGTGCACCAGGGCAGAGAAGGGAAGGGAAGGAAAGGGAGGAAGGGAAGGAAGAAAGGAAGGAAGGAATACCAATAGTACTTAGATTTATATACCGCTTCACAGTGCTTTTACAGCCCTCTCTGAGCAGTTTACAGAATCAGCCTCTTGCCCCCAACAATTTTACCGACCTCAGAAGGACAGAAGGCTGAGTCAATTTTGAGCTGGTGAGAATGTATGCTCAGTCTCTGAGCAGGGACTGAATTCCCCCCGTACCTTTGATAGTAGAGCTGGAATCATGCCTTAATTTTTTTTAAAAAATGGGTGTCTTTAGATGATAGCCTTTGTGTGCGGTCCCCTGAGCATGGACAGAGTGCTTTCCCCCTTGACTTTGAGCAGTTGTGGATGAGCAACTGGCACTGGAGGATTAGACCAAACATGGTGTTTTTTTCTGCAAGATTCTACCTGGATCTGGGATTGTTGTAGTGTTCAACACAGCCTCTAAATCTTGTTGAGAGCAATAGCAAGAAAACTTACTTATCTACCGCTTCACAGTGCTTCACAGCCCTCTCTAAACAGTTTACAGAGTCAGTATATTTCCCCCCAACAATCTGATCCTCATTTCACCCACCTTGGAAGGGCGGAAGGCTGAGTCAACCTTGAGCCGGTCAGGATCGAACTGCTGGCAGTTGGCAGATTTAACCTGCAATGCTGCATTCTAACCACTGGGCCACCATGGTCTCAAAAGCTCCAGGCTCCAGACCTAAACCAGGATTAACGACGCCACTCGTGTGGGGGCTAACACATGATTCTTTTATGTTATTTTAGTTCATTTTAGTTCCTTTTATTTTAGTTCCTTTTCTAGTTCATGTTAGCTCAGTTCATTTTATTTGGTGTCATTTAAATCCCACCTTTATTATATTTCCTGCCTGAGCAGGGGGTTGGACTAGAAGACCTCCAAGGTCCCTTCCAACTCTGTTATTTTATGTTTTTAAAAGCTGCTTGAGGTTGCAAACATACCTAATACTCCTTCCTCCTCCTATTTTCCCCATAAAACAACAAAAACAACTCTGTGAGGTGGACTGGACTGAGACAGAGAGGGACTGGCCCAAGGTCACCCAGCCAACTTTTACGGCTAGGGCAGGACTAAAACTCATGGTCGCCTGGTGCCTTATGCATCTAGCATGAGAGCCTTGCAGGCACAGAAACAACCTATTCAGTGACTGCATTTTACAACTGGATCCCAAAGATCCAGTTCTGGGCGGGAATGTCAACATCTTAATGGAGGTGAAATCGCAGCATTTTCTCTCTGGCTTCTCCCAGGTTTCTGCTGGTCTTTGCAAAAGTTGTGAGCTCTTTAAAGCTCCCAGAAGAAGGGATGGAGGAGGCCAGAGGGGGAGGGGGAGCAAAACAGTCTTGGGCAAGAACAGCCCCTCCTGTTCAATTCTTACCAAACCTGCTTCACCTCCTTTTTCCAAAGCTTTGGTTCTTTCTCAGAATAACAAAAGTTGGAAAGGACCTTGGAGATCTTCTAGTCCCATGATGGCGAACCTATGGCACGCGTGCCACAGCTGGCACACGGAACCATATTTGTGGGCATGCGAGCATTGCCCTGGCTTAGCTCCAGCGCGCATGCACATGCCGGCCAGCTAATTTTCGGGCCTTCCGGGCCCACCAGAAGTCAGGAAACGGGGCATTTCTGGCCTCCGGGGGGAGAGGGGGGAAGGCGGTTTTCACCCACTCCAGGCTCCAAGAAAGCTTGGGCAGGGCTACCTTTTTGCCATCGTGTGCCAAAAGCGGAGGGAGTGTAGGGGGGAGCACACGCATATGCGGGGGGCAAGGTGTGGGGGGCATTGAATTATGGGTGTGGGCACGCGTGCGAGTCCCCCACCACATCATATTCTGTCCTAGACAAGTGGCTGTCCAGTCTCTTCTTAAAAGCCTCCAGCGGACTCACAAATTCTGGATAGAATAAATAAGAATAAGAATAGGAATGGAATGGAATGGAATAGTATAGAATGTTGGAAGGGATCTTGGAGGTCTTCTAGTCCAACCTCCTGCTCAAGCAGGAGACACTACACCATTCCAGACAAATGGCTGTCCAGTCTCTTCTTAAAAGCCTCCAGTGATGGAGCAGCCACAACTTCTGGAGGGAAGCTGTTTCATTGATTGATTGCTTTTGATCTCAGAAAACTTCTCATTAATTTCTTAATTCCCGGTGTTTTTTCTTGAGAACAGGTGGTGAATGGAGTCAAACACTACTTGGATGTCGTCCTGCTCCAGAGTCTGTGCAAGAGGGGTGAGATTGCAGGCTGCAACAATGCTTCGGGGTCTCATCCTCTAGGAAAACCAGAACACGTGGTAAGCAGGGACCCTCCCAAAGCATTCGATTTCAATTAAGAGGATGGCTATGATTATATAAATCACCTTATCAGCGTGATAGGCACTGTATAAATTTAGTAAATAAATAACAGTTTTCATAATAGTACTTATCATTAATAGTCAAAACTATTTTGACATAACAGTCAAAAATAATAGTGTTGACTAATTTTTCAAAGCACCAAGTTTTTGCATCGTTCCATTGAAAATGGTTTGGGCTGGTCAGAAGTTAGGGCAGCCCTGATTGCTTTTGCAGAAGGACCAGGGGTGACATGATAGCACTCTTGAGGGGCTGCCCCAAAGGAGAGGGGGGGGTCAACCTATTCTCCAAAGCCCCTGAAGGCAAGGCAAGACAAGCAAAGGATGGAAACTAACCAAGGAGAGAAGCAACCTGGAATTAAGGAGAAACTTCCTAACGGTGAGAGCAATTAACCAGTGGAACAGCTTGCCACCAGAAGTTGTGGGTGCTCCATTATGGCAGGAGGTTTTTAAGAGACTGGACAGCCATTTGTCCAGGATGGTATAGGGTCTCCTGCTTGAACGGGGCTGGACTAGTAGACCTCCAAGGTCCCTTCCAACTCTGTTATTCTGTATTCTGTAACCTTCACACTTCTATGGACAGGGCATTAGATATAGAGCATAGAATCCTAGAATCAGAAGGGACCTTGTAGTCCAGCCCCCTGTTCAATCTCTTCTTTAAAATCTCCAGTGATGGAGCACCCATAAATTCCATTGATCAATTGTTCTCACTGTCAGGACATTTCTCCTTACTTCTAGGTTGGATCTCTCTTTGATAATCTTCCGTGAGGTGAGACTCATGGATCTCGGAGAAGGTCCAGCATATGCTGCGCAAGGATTCCGAGCTAGGGCCTCGCTTGGCTCCTCCTTCCAGGCTAGCTGACAGCCTCCCAACACCCAGAGAGTCAGGACGTTGGACGAGAGAGAGTTCCCACCAAGGCTTCCCTGGGTGGCTGTGATGAAGTTGAGCAACCCTGATTTGGATTGTTAGTAAATCCAATTTCCAATTCCGCCCCTTGTGCATTTCTGACTCATGGCTCTTCTCGCCACCCAGTCCTGCCACTTCGAGGTTTGGAGCCAGCCCTGGGCAAGCAACAAGAATCTGCTTAAGCAAGACTGCCATCCCACCGGTAAGTCAGCTCTCAGGCTGCCTGCAGCACCAAGCGGGCGCCAGATCTCTGCCAGCCTCAGCGGATTCCCCGAGCGTCTGCTTTGCCTCACAAATCAGGGCTGGGAAAAGAAAGGGGAAAGTGGGAAATTGCCTGAAGGCATTCAGAGCAAGAGAGAGAAGTTGGGATCCTGCATCAGGCCAGGTGGTTTTAAACCCTGGCTTGCTAAACAAGCCCTTGTGGCTCGGGCGGGCTTGCACATTGTGCTGACCCACAATACGGGTGGTGAGTTTGGGCTTAGTGCATGGTGAATTCCTGTAATTTTGGTTCGCTCGATAGGTAGTCCTTGACTTACAACCATTCATTTAGTGATGGTTTGAAGTTACAACGGCACTGAAAAAAATGACTTTAGGACCATTTTTCACACTTACGACCCTTGCAGCATCCCTGTGGTCACATGATCAAAATTTGCACGCTTGATGGGTCACGTGATTCCCTTTTGCGACCTTCTGAGAAGTAAAGTCAATGGGGAAGCCAGATTCACTTCACTTAACCGTGTTATTAAGCTAACAAACTGCAGTGGTTCACTTAACAAGTGTGGCAAAAAGGTCATAATATGGGGCAGAATTCACCTAACAACTGTCTCACTCAGCAATAGAAATTTTGGACTCCATTGTGGTCATATGTTGAGTGCATAAGTCTTACGTCATGAGGTCATGTCACTTTTTTAGTGCTGTTGCAACCTCGGTCACTTAGCGAATGGTTATATGTTGAGGACTCCCTTTACTGGGCCTCTGATAGGGGTCAGAAGGATTTGCCCTAAAGCTGGAGTGGTGATGTCCAAGCTTGACCACTTTAAGACCTGTGGACTTCAACTCCCAGAATTCCCCAGCCTGCATGCCTGGCTGAGGAATTCTGGGAGTTAAAGTCCCCAAAGTTATCAATGGTGGACAACCCCCTCCCCCCGGCTGTAACGGCTGTTTGGCCGAAGGGTCCCGCTTTGACCTTGGTGAGGGGGGCTGTTTGGGGCAAAAGAGAATGACAACCAAAATTTCCTTTTGTAATATTTCTCCCCTCCCCCTCCGTTCTTCCCGGCAGAACCATTGGCTGAAATCCAGGCGTCCATGCTGGGTCCATGGGAGACGTTTCCTCTGACCGGCCCTTTTGTGGGCGCAGCTGGGACACCTTTGAGGCAGATGGAATCTCTCCAGGTGGGCGATGCTTTTCCCCTGGAGAATACACTAGAGACTTATGACCGCACCCGGGACATCCTTAGGGCATCATTAAGCAAGGCATCACGAGACCACCGGACCTGATTTTATTACTGTTTTTTAAAAGGGGCATTAAATGAATCATGCCTCTTTCTGGGCACAGTGAAAATATATCTGCTGAACAAAAACTCCGTATTGGTAACAGGAAGGGCATCCGGCCAGTAAACATTCTGCTAGCTCCATTCAATTACCCAGACACCACCAAGCAAAGGATTATGGGGTCGTTAAAAGGAGATGACGATTAAATGAATCATGCATTCATTAAATAAATTGCATGATCATTAAGTGAATCCAGCTTCCCCCATTGATTTTGATGGTCGGAATCTGGCTGGGAAGATCATACATTGGGATCATGTGATTGTGAGATTCTGCAACCGTTGTAAATATAAATTTTGCCTGGCACCCAAATCTTGATCATGTTAATCACGGGGTGGTACAACAGTCGTAACTTTTGAGGATGGGTCAAAAGTCACTTTTTCCTGTTGTAACTTTGAACTGTCGTAAAACAAACGGTCGTAAGTCGAGGAGCACCTGCATCAGCATGGCTTGCCAGACTGGCTTCCTCCGAGGACAGGACTCTGCTCTCTTTCTCCCTTTGGCTCCCAAAAAGACGGAGGAGACTGTCCACTGAAACTGGAAGGGGTGCATGGGCTATGTTGTCTTTTCTTCTGCTGAATTTTTCCTTTTGCAGAGGAGACTGGGAGGGGGAGGTGTCTGGTGTAGCAGATCCTCCTTCGCGAGGAATTCAGTTCCTCCACACCCCATTTGTGCCCCCACCCCCCAAATTGTCAAGGCTACAATCTTTGCTGCTTTGGGGCGAGGTAGATTTTCAAATTTTCAGCGTTTAAACCCCAGTGGCTCCTTCCCAGCTCAGGCCAGTTTCTCCCATTGGAAGGCATCGTACAACAAATCAAGGACTTGGAAGTCCGTCTGCCAACCTCTTCTTGAGGGTCCCAGAGTCCCCTGTTCTCTGGTGACATCACAGCCCCACCCTTTACGCAGGGTGGGAAACCTGAGGGTGGCCCCCAGCCCAGGCCAAAAAATGGCTGCTTGCTCTCCCTCTTTGGAGCCTCCGTTCCCTTAAATTTCTGCCAAGGGCTGGCCTGCTGCAGCCGGGGTGTGGCCAGGCCCGTGGTGGGGTCAGTAGTGGTTGTCCTCCATGTCTCTGGTTCTCATCCTGGGGGTCTCTTCCTTCCACAGAACGCCTCCGCCCACCTGGTCTCCCTCTTCAAGGACTTTCTGACAACCTACAAGAAGAGCTACCTGGACGAAAGAGGTGATTTCCGAACAGGGGGCGTTGGGGAGGGACTGGTTACCCTTTGCAGTTGGGGGGCGGCAGGCCCCATGGCACAATTTCAAGTGCAGGCATGTGCAGTGCATGACCCACTTTCAAAACAGAACTCCAGTCATGTCCAGTCACGCCCAAATCTCTAAATCAGTGAGATGGACAGCATAAAAAACCAGAGAGATGATAGAGATGGATGGATGGAGACAGAGAGACAGAATATAGCTAGATGATAAAGAAAGTGAAAAGGAAGGAAGGAAGGAAAAAGAAAGGAAAGAGAAGAAGAAAGAAAGAAGAAAAATAGAAAGAAAAAGATAGATAGAAGATAGATAATGTGACGGTAAAGGTTCCCCTCACACATATGTGCTAGTCGTTCCTGACTCTAGGGGGCGGTGCTCATCTCCATTTCAAAGCCGAAGAGCCAGTGCTGTCCAAAGACGTCTCGGTGGTCATGTGGCTGGCATGACTCAACGCCAAAGGCACACGGAATGCTGTTCCCTTCCCACCAAAGGTGGTCCCTATTTTTCAACCTAGCAGTGCTTTCGAACTGCTGGGTTGGCAGAAGCTGGGACAAGGAACGGGAACTCACCCCGTTACGCGGCACTAGAGATTCGAACCGCCGAACTGCCGACCTTTCGATCCACAAGCTCAGCATCTTAGCCACTGAACCACCGTGTCCCTAAGAAGATAGATAGATGATAGATAAAGTGAAAGAGAAAAATAGTGAGGATAGAAGGAAAGATAAAGACAGACGATATAGATGCTAGAAGTGAAAGAAAGGAAAAGAGATAATAAAGACAGAATATAGATAATGAAAAGGAAGTGAAAGAAAGATGATAGATAGATAGATAGATAGATAGATAGATAGATAGATAGATAGATAGATAGATAGATAGATACATAGATAAAAGTTTTTTGAAGTGAGGCTCGATCAGCCCCGAGAGCCAGTTTGGTCTAGTGGTTAAGGCACCAGCTTAGAAAGCAGTGGGACATGAGTTCAAGTCCTGCCTTAGCCCCGAAAGCCAATCACTAGGAGACTATGAGTTCTAGTTCTGCCTTTAGGCATGAAAGCCAGCAGAGTGACTTTGGGTCAGTTCCTCCCTCTCAGCCCAGCCTACCTCACAGGGCTGTTGGGGTGGGGAAAATAGGAGGAGGGAGGTGTGTTGGATAGGTTTGCCACCTTGAGCTATTTGTAAAGATAATAAAGATCAGGCTCCAAATATATAAACAATATTTGGGTGCTTGTGAAGCAGCAGGTATTTATAATGGTCGGAGCATCCCAGTTTGCTAGCTGACTTCCAACAAGCAGCGGCAATAGGGGTAGCTGGATTCACTTAGCGGCCATGTGATTCGTTTAGCAATGATTCATTTAGTGATTCTCTTGATAACCATGGCAAAAAAAGAAACAGTAAAATTGGGCACAGAGTGCTTAACTAAGTACTGAGTAACTCAAAATTCTGATCCCATTTTGGTCGTAAGTCGAGGATGATTCCAGGGGGTCATGGGCTCTCTAGTCCAGGGGTCTTCAACCGTGGCAACTTGAAGACTTGTGGACTTCAACTTAAAGTTAAAGTCCACAAGTCTTCAAGTTGCCACGGTTGGAGACCCCTGGTCTAGTCCTAATTAGGGGCTGTTTCCACGGGCTGCTTTGTTTCAGAGACCCAAAGGCGCTTCCGCATTTTTGCCGAGAACCTGGAGAAGGCCCGTCTCTATCAGGAACTGGATCAGGGCACCGCAGAATACGGAGTCACCAAATTTAGCGACCTGACAGGTAGGTGAGAAGTTTGCTTTCTGGTTTCTTTTCTGGATGGCAAAAGTTGCTGGTAAAGTGGACGAATATTTTGCATGTGTATTAGGGGTGAAATGCTCCCGGTTCGGACTGGATTGCCCGATCCGGTAGCGATGGTGGCGGGTGGTTCGGAGAACCAGTAGCAAAAATCCCTGCCCCCCCCCCCCCCCCGCCACACCATGCCCAGCTGAGCCGTATAATCATCAGAGGCTTTTTTTTTTTTTTTTACTTTTAAAAGCATTTTTTCTACAACTACTTCCCCCGAAAAAATACTTTTAAAAATAAAAAAAAAGCCTCTGATGATCGCGCGGCTCAGCTGGGATTGTCAGAGGCTTTTCAAAGCATTTTTTTCTGCAACCTCTTCCCCGGAAGAGGTTGCAGAAAAAAAATGCTTTAAAAGTCTCTCTGACCATCCCAGCTGAGTTGACTGATCGTCAGAGAGACTTTTCAAAGCATTTTTTTCTGCAACCTCTTCTGGGGAAGACATGGTTAAAAAAATGCTTTGAAAAGCCTCTGACCATTCCAGCTGTGTTCCTGATTGGCAGAGGCTTTTCAAAGCATTTTTTTGCATTTGCAGAAAAAATGCTTTGAAAAGTTAAAAAAAAAAAGTTGGCCATGTCCACCCTGTCACATTACACCCCCCACCAAGCCACGCCCACAGAGCCGGTAGTAACAAATTTTACATTTCACCCCTAATGTGGATCCAAATGTACTCCGTGCGAAACTGCCCATCTCATCTGCAGGCCATTATTTCTCAATCAAAACAGCCAGGAATGGTATACATTGTGGATGTAACATAGAATAGAATGAATGAGCTGGAAGAGACCTTGGAGGTCTTCTAGTCCAGCCCCTTGCTCAAGCAGAAGAACCGATACTATTTCAGATAAGTGACTGTCTAGTCTCTTCTTAAAAATATCCAGTGATGGAGCAGCCACAGTTTCTGGTGGTGAGCTGTTCCACTGGTTAATTGTCCTCACTGTTAGGAAGTTTCTCCTTAGTTCCAGGTTGCTTCTCTCTGGTTAGTTTCCATCCATTGTTTCTTGTCTTGCTTTCTGGTGCTTTGGAGAATAATTCGACCCCGTCTTCTTTGTGGCAGCCCCTCAAATTTTGGAAACGCTGCCATCATATCCCCCCCAGTCCTTCTCTAGACTGGCCAAACCCAAATCCTGCATAGTTCTTCATATGTTTTTGTCTCCAGACCCTTAATTTTTTTAGTTGCTCTTCACTGAACTTTTTCCAAAGTCTCAACATCTATTTTGTAATGTGGGGACCAAAACTGGATACGGTATTCCAGGTGTGGCCCTTACTAGGGTTTTATAAAGCATTACTAATACTTCATGTGATCTTGATTCTATGCCTCTATTTATACAATCCAGGATTGTATTCGCTTTTTTGGCTGCTGCTGCACACGGCTGGCTCGTGTTTAAGCGATTGTCCACTAGGACTCCAAGGTCCCTCTCACAGTTCCTGTTTTTGAATTCCTGTTGCTATTTTATTCAGCATTTTTTAAAAAAACTTTTGGGCTGGCTGCAGTTGATCTGTCCAAATAGGATAGAAATAATAGAAGAACACAGAATAGAATACTTTATTTGGCCAAGGAATTTTTCTCCAGCGCAGGAACTCTCAGTGTACATGCAAAGCAACAGAGTACAGCTAGTCCTTGACTTACAACACTTCACTTAATGACCGTTCGAAGGTACAACGGCATTGAAAATGTGACCTATGACCATTTTTCACACTTATGACCTTTGCAGCATCCCCATGGTCATATGATTGACATGTGGATGCTTGGCAACTAACTCACATTTATGACGGTTGCAGTGTGCCGGGGTCACATGATCCGTTTTGTGACCTTCTGACAAGCAAACTCAATGGAGGAAGCCAAATTCACTTAACAACCATGTCACTAACTTAACAATTGCAGTGATTCACTTAACAAATGTGGCAAGAGAAGTCATAAAATGGGACAAAGCTCGTTTAACAAATTTCTCACTTAGCAACAAATTTTGGGCTCAATTGTGGTCGTAATTTGAGGACTGCCTTTAACAATAACTGTCATAATAATACCAATAAGAGGGAACACTTTAATTATGCTGTCAGCCTCATTTTAGTCCTGTCTATCAAGACTGTGGTGCTTAGTTGTGGCTTTGTGTGTTGTGTGTTGGATAGATCCCTTAATTGTAGATAGATGCACCTACGTAGTCTGTTTCTGGGGAAAAAATAAACAGGTAGTCCTCGAATTATGACCAGTTACTTAGCCTCAATGTATGGCCTGCCATTTGCAATGTCCTGTGGTCGTGTGATTTATGATGTTTTTATCAGAAATTTCTGGTTTCTGGCATAAAATATCCCATAGGGAAAATACGTTCATTGAATGACTCCCACATTCACTTTACGGCCACTGGAAAATAGGTCATAAAATCAGGCACAGTAATGCATTGTAAGCCGCCCTGAGTCTCCGGAGAAGGGCGGCATATAAATTGAACTAATAAATAAGTAAGTAAGTAAGTAAATAAGTAAGTAAGTAAGTAAAAGGATGACCACTTAACAACCACGGACACTTAGGACCAAAACCGCAGGCTGAATTAAGGTCATAATTGATTGATTCTTGAGCCGGAAATCACAAAGGATTCCGGTTGAGTTTCAGGAAATGTTAGTTAAATTTGTTTGCTGTCCAACTGGCCGCGAGGTTAATTATTTAATTTTGGCAGTTTGGAGATGTCTCTCTCAGAGAAGCTGTGCCAAAGTTGGGGTCTCTTTCCAGCATAATCCTGCAATTCATTTTGGTCGTCCCCCCACTCATAACATGTAACAGTAACAGAGTTGGAAGGGATCTTGGAGGTCATCTAGTCCACCCCCTGCTCACGCAGGAGACCTGTACTAGGGATTCAAACTGCCAACCTTTCTGATCGACAAGCTCAGTGTCCTAGTCACTGAGCCACCTAGTCAGGGTTGAGTGGATCTCTTCAGCCGCTGACTCCACTTATTATTCCTGCCTGGCATGTTTTAAATTTGCTAAGTCAATATAATGTCGGTCCACGATGACCTGGAGTCATGATTTGATTGAAAAGTAAGGCCTGACTTCCTTTCCAATGAGAAGGTGGAACTTTTGCTGTTGAAAATGTTTTAGAGATTCACAAGCGTGAAGTGGAAATCCTCTAGACTTCCTTGGAGATTTTTAAATGCCTGCCTTGTTTTTTTTAAAAAAATCTATTTCAAATTAAGGTGGCTCAGACTCTTGTCTTATTCTTATTTAGAATGAGAACAAGATTTATTCATTAAACCAGTGTTAGGCAAATCATGACACTGAGTGCAAAACCCAGTCTAAAAGATATAAGTTGCAGGTATATGTAGGAACAGGATTTGGGAGAGCAAAAGGCAGAGTTTTCTACTTTTATCAGGAAGAACAGATTCAGTATGTTTCCCTTTGGTACAGATGTCAAAGTCTTCGGAGAAAGGCGGCATACAAGTTGAACAAATAAATAAAATAAAGAAATGTCATGGTCATTTTGCAAACTTTTGTTTTGAGACATGTGGACATTTTCTCATGCTTTTAATATTTGATATGCCTCAAGGGTTGATATTTTCCTGCTTTTGTTTTGCTTGTTATTGCTTGCTGTTATGTTCTTCTAATTTTCAATTATTATTTTTTTGTAATTTTTGTTAATTTGTTTTTGGTAGATAGTTAGGTTTGAGGGATCTTTTGTAGTTTTTATCTTTTTTAAAAAATACCACTTTCAATAAAATAAACCTTAAAAAATAGTCGTAGCATAAATGGGTGGAAGAACATTAAAGAGAGAGCCAACCGAGAATTAAGGATAAATTCCCAGACACTGAGAACAACCAAATGGTGAAATGGCTTCTCTCAAGAAGTTGGGGTGCTCCATCACTGGAGGTCTTCAAGAAGAGACTGGACAGCCATTTGTCTGGAATGGTATAGGGTCTACTGTTTGAGTAGGGGGTGGACTAGAAGACCTCTGGATCCCCTTCCAGCCCTAGATTTAGATCAGGGATCTGCAACCTTAAATACTCAAAGAGCCATTTGGACCCGTTTTCCCACAGAAAAGAAAACACTGGGAGCCACAAAACCCTTCCCGTGCCTGACTATTTCTTGAGTGGCCACAAAACTAGCATATGTAGTTGAATTAAACGTTCTGTTTTCTTCTGAAATTTTTCTTTTCTTGGATTTATCCATGGTTGGTCTACCGGGGATTGAAAAGCTCAATAAATTGTGTGCCGGCAGGTTTCGCAAATTGGTTGTGATGCATATTTTGAGTGACAGGGAGCCGCAGCAGAGGGGTGAAAGAGCCACATGCGGCTCCAGAGCCGCAGGTTGCTGACCCCTGGTTTAGATAGATAGATAGATAGACAGACAGACAAAGTAAAGGATGGATGGATGGATGGGTGGATAGATGGATTGTCTGTCTATCTATCTACCCATCCATCCATCATTACTTCATCTGCTGTCTATATCTATCTATCTATTTTATCTGTTTGTCTGACGTGATAGATGAGAGAGATGATGGGTGGCTTGCTTCCTGGAGTTGTGGACAATGGATGGTGCAGGGTCTCCTGCTTGAGCAGGGGGTTGGACTAGAAGACCTCCAAGTTCCTTTCCAACCCTATGATTCTATCTTCTATGGAAATGGAGAACGAGGTTTGGGGCAGGATTCGTCACTCATGGTCTGCTTCTCTTCTTCCAGAGGAAGAGTTCCGTTCCAGGTACCTGAATCCACTGCTGACAAAGCTACCTGGCCGGCCCATGAAAGTGGCCTCCATCCCAAATGGTTCGTTTCCTGAGGAATGGGACTGGCGGGATCATGGAGCTGTCACAGGGGTCAAAAACCAGGTGGGTCTTCCTAGGCTAGGTCCTCTGGACAAACAGTTGGATGGATTCTGAGATGGGGTCCTGGGTGGGGCTGGTGGTCGTTCTGCCTAGGTGGTGATGCCTGTCTGTTTGGTCAATAGGGCGTCCAACCTTGGCAACTTCTTGTGGACTTCAACTCCCAGAATTCCCTAACCTGAACAGCTTGATCCTCCTTGAATTAAGCTCGATGTCTCTTTAGGACCGTGTTTCTAAACCATAGCAACTTCAAGATGGGTGGACTTCAATTTCTCTAGCTTTACTGGCTGGGGAATTCTGGATGTTGAAGTCCACCTGTCCTCCAGTGGCCTTCTCCTGCTTGAGAAACACTAGTGCCAAAATTGAAACGTGGGCAGCTACGTGCCTCTTCATTTCAACTTGTCATTAGAGTTAGGAGAGTGGGGATGTTGACTACTAATGGGTTACTTCGGAGAAATGAAACTTAATGCAGTTCCATGAGAGTTTGTGAGACTCTGGAAACCTTTCAAGGTCAGATCAAAAGGTGTGCAGAAGAAGTCAGATGGTTCCCACAACAAAGAGAACTTTTTAATACTGTCTACATCAGGGGTGTCAAACCTGCGCCCTCACGATGGCGTCACATGACATATCGAGACTTCTATCCCCTTCGTGAAACTGGGCGGGGCCAACACGTGACGCATCCGGCCCGTGGGCTGCAAGTTTGACACCCCTGGTCTACAAGGAAGCCTGGGGGTTGGGCTGGGAAAATCATTGTTTAATACTGGGGGATTCTGGGAGTTAAAGTCCACCCGTCTTTCAGTGGCTAAGGTTGAGAAACATGGTTCGGGCTGGGGAATTCTGGGAGTTGAAGTCCACCATTTTCAAGTGGCCAAGGTTTAGGAGCACTGCTTCTAAAGCTTGGATGGGACTTTTCTGATGCTGTTTGTGTTGTCTCTTCTTCTCTCTGCAGGGCGAGTGTGGCTCCTGCTGGGCCTTTTCCGTAACGGGCAACATAGAAGGACAGTGGTACCTTCACAAGGGTAACTTGCTCTCCCTCTCTGAGCAAGGTAAGTGAGGAGTTGGGTTCACAATCTGCTGGGGGGGGGGTTGCCCTGTTGGAAAAGATAGATCCACCCCAGTGCCGTGCTTTGTGGCAGCTTCTCACCTCGACTGGTGATGTTCACCCATACTAACAGGCAGTGGTGAAATCCAATTTTTTTTTACTACTGGTTCTGTGGGCGTGGCTTGGTGAGGGGAAGGATACTGCAAATTCTCCATTCCCAGCCCACTCCGGGGAAGGATACTGCAAAATCCCCATTCCCACCCCAGTCGGGGGCCAGCCAGAGGGTGGTATTTGCCGGTTCTCCAAACTACTAAAAATTTCTGCTACCGGTTCTCTGAACTGCTAAAAATTTCCGCTACCAGTTCTCCAGAACCTGTCAGAACCTGCTGGATTTCACCCCTGCTAATGGAGAAATGCAATTAAAGAATCCAATATTTAATGTTACATGTAATAACAGCGGCTAGAATTACGTATGCACAAAATTGGAAAAATGGAATACCCACAGAGGAAATGGTAAGAAAGAAAACATTAGATGGATTAGATGGAAGTTAAAGACAAAGGAGAAGTATGTTACAACCATGGATACAATAGATACAAGTATGTTGTATAATATCAAGTTTTTATTCTTTTTTCTATAGACTATACTGTATGAGTTCCAGGTATATTTGTAAAGAAAGAAACAGACATTCTGCGAGCTCCGGTACTAGGAACTAGATTTCCTTCAACCGGGTATTTTCCTACGTAAACCAAGTTTTTCAAATTGCAGCAGAGCTCAGTGAAATCATAGTGGATGTGATTTCACTGAGCTACGGCTGCAATTTGAAAAACTTGGTTTACGTAGGAAAATACCCGGTTGAAGAAAAATACATACCGTATTTTCTGGCGTATAAGACGACTTTTTAACACATGAAAATCTTCTCAAAAGTCGGGTGTCGTTCTCCTGTAACCAGGCAGACCAGCCCGAAAGGCTCTGACGAGCCTTAAATGGCTCTGGTGATCCAAGCTCTGACGATCTGCTAATCAGGCAACTCAGCTGGGATCGCCAGAGCCATGGAGAAGGGAAAAACTTTTCCCCCTCCAGCTTGCTTACCTTAGCTCAGTGGTTGGGGGTCAAACAACCCTTTCACAGGGGTCGCCTAAGACAGTGGTCACCAACCGGTGGTCCTTTGGTGGTCCGCGGAGAAATTTTTGTATTTTTGCATTTTTGCAGGTGGTGCAATACAGAAAAACGAGCGCAGCCCTCGCCATCCGGAATGAATGGTGCTGTTGTGGCGGTGGGGGAGGGGGCGGCAGAAGCGGGAAGAAGCGGCGTTTGCGATGGCTGGAAGCTGTGGGAGTGAAGCACTACTTTCATTTGTACGGCAACAGCATTCCGCCTTGGTATATTTGTGCCAGCCAGTGGCGCAAGGCAGCCCTCCTCTCCTGCTGCCTGGGACTCAGAGTGGTAAATGGCGTCTGATCCGGAGAGCAGCTGGATTTTGCTCCCTAATCCGGATGCCAGATCGGCCCCCTGCAAGCTCTCGTCTCTCGAGGAGCGCTCCCTGAAGCGGGGCTGGAAACTTTGGTTGGGCTGCTTGAGAGAGGAAAGCTTGCAGGGGGGCGATCTGGTGTCTGCAATGGAGAGCAAAATCCGGCTTCTTCTCTCTGCTGAAAGTGCAGCATCAGGATTCTGCCTTGGTATATTTGCGGCGCCTTGGTATATTTGCGGTGCAGCCCTCCTCTCCTGATGCTTGGGACTCGGAGCGGTAAATGGTGACTGATCCGAGGAGCAGTCGGATTTTGCTCTCCATTGCAGATGCCAGATCGGCCCCCTGCAAGCTCTCATCTCTGGAGGAGCCCAACCAAAGTTCCCAGTGCCACTTCAGGGAGCGCTCCTCGAAAGATGAGAACTCGCAGGAGGCCGATCTGGCATCCGCAATGGAGAGCAAAATCCAGCTGCTCCCCAGACTAGTCACCATTTACCGCTCTGAGTCCCAAGCAGCAGGAAACGAAGGCTGCCTTGCGCCGCAAATATACCAAGGCAGAATCCTGATGCTGCACTTTCAGCAGAGAAATGAGGGCTGCCTTGGCCATCGGCTGGCGCAAATATACCAAGGCGAATGCTCATGCCACACAAGTTCAAGTAGTGCTTCGCTCCCACACTTCTTCCGGCCCTCAGTCTCTCAGGGAGATGCTTGACTTCCTCTCAGCCCCAAGACACCGGCTGGCCCATGAGATGAAAGAGAGAGAGAGAGAGAGAGAAAGAGAGAGAATCAGAATGAGACAGAGAGAGAAAGAGACAAAGAATGAAAGAGAGAATGAGAGAGAGAGAATCAGAATGAGACAGAGAGAGAAAGAGACAAAGAATGAAAGAGAGAGAAAGACAGAATGAGAGAAAGAGACAGAGTGAATCAGAGAGAGAGAGAGAGACAGAAAGAGACAGAGAATCAAAGAATCAGAGAGAGAGAGAGACAAAATGAAAGAAAATCAGAATGAGAGAGAGAGAGTGGGGAGAGAGAGAGAGAAAGAGGGGGAGAGAGAAAGAGAATGAAGAGAGATGAGAGAGAAAGAGTGGGAGAGAGAAAGAGAAAGAGTGGGGGGAGAGAGAGAAAGGGACAGAGAAAGAGAGAATGAGAATGAAAAAAAAAAAAGGAAAGCACATATTTTTGATGGTTTTAGGAATAACTTTATCGTTGGGGGTCACCACAACATGAGGAACTGTATTAAAGGGTCGCGGCATCAGGAAGGTTGAGAACAGGAATTTTATTTTAACAGGAAAATTCGGGGGTCATCTTATACGCCCAGTTGTCTTATACGCCGGAAAATACGGTACTTTTAAAACCTACGACAAGAGGTTTAATTCTGAGGTTTTCGCAGGTATTTGTATGTAGGTTTTTGGTTATTTGGGTTTTCTCCCGCGTAAAATTGGAAGTCGCCAAAGTACTTCCAATTTTACACAGGAGAAAACCCAAATAACCAAAGACCTACACACATACGCACATATATATATTATATATATGTATAATATATATACACACACTGCTCAAATAAAGGGAACACAAAAATAAGATATCCTAGATCTGAATGAATGAAATATTCGTAGTAAATACTTTGTTCATTACATACTTGAATGTGCTGACAACAAAATCACACAAAAATTATCAATGGAAATCAAATTTATCAACCCGTGGAGGTCTGGATGTGGAGTTACACTCAAAATTAAAGTGGAAAAAAACACTACAGGCGGATCCAACTTTGATGTAATGTCCTTAAAACAAGTCAAAATGAGGCTCAGTAGTGTGTGTGGCCTCCACGTGCCTGTATGACCTCCCTACAACGCCTGGGCATGCTCCTGATGAGGTGGCGGATGATCTCCTGAGGGATCTCCTCCCACACCTGGACTAAAGCATCCTCCAACTCCTGGACAGTCTGTGGTGGAACGTGGCATTGGTGGATGGAACGAGACATGATGTCCCAGATGTGCCCAATTGGATTCAGGTCTGAGGAACGGGCGGGTCAGTCCGTAGCATCAATGCCTTCATCTTGCAGGAACTGCTGATACACTCCAGCCACATGAGGTCTAGCATTGTTGTGCATTAGGAGGAACCCAGCATATGGTCTCACAAGGGTTTGAGGATCTCATCTCGATACCTAATGGCAGTCAGGCTACCTCTGGCGAGCACATGGAGGGCTGTGCGGCCCCCCAAAGAAATGCCACCCCACACCATTACTGACCCACTGCCAAACCGGTTATGCTGGAGGATGTTGTAGGCAGCAGAACGTTCTCCACGGTGTCTCCAGACCCTGTCATGTCTGTCACATGTGCTCAGTGTGAACCTGCTTACATCTGTGAAGAGTACAGGGCACCAGTGGCGAAGTTGCCTATCTTGGTGTTCTCTGGCAAATGCCAAACGTCCTGCACGGTGTTGGGCTGTAAACACAACCCCCACCTGTCGGGCCCTCATACCACCCTCATGGAGTCTGTTTCTGACCATTTGAGCAGACACATGCACATTTGTGGCCCGCTGGAAGTCATTTTGCCGGGCTCTGGCAGTGCTCCTCCTGTCCCTCCTTGCACAAAGGCGGAGGTAGCGGTCCTGATGCTGGGTTGTTGCCCTCCTAGGGCCTCCTCCACATCTCCTGATGTACTGGCCTGTCTCCTGGTAGTGCCTCCATGCTCTGGACACTACGCTGACAGACACAGCAAACCTTCTTGCCACAGCTCGCATTGATGTGCCATCCTGGATGAGCTGCACTACCTGAGCCACTTGTGTGGGTTGTAGCCTCTGTCTCATGCTACCACTAGAGTGACAGCACCGCCAGCATTCAAAAGTGACCAAACCATCAGCCAGAAAGCACAGGAACTGAGAAGTGGTCTGTGGTCACCACCTGCAGAACCACTCCTTTGTTGGGGATGTCTTGCTAACTGCCTATGCTTTCCACCTGTTGTCTATTCCATTTGCATAACAGCATGTGAAATTGATTGTCAATCAGTGTTGCTACCTAAGTGGACAGTTTGATTTCACAGAAGTGTGATTGACTTGGAGTTACATTGTGTTGTTTAAGTGTTCCCTTTATTTTTTTGAGCAGTGTGTATACATACACACACACACACACACACACACACACATATATATATGTATATATATATTAGTATATATTATAGTGTGTGTTTGTGTGTACATAAATATATATATATATATGTACACACACACATCTTTAGGCAGGTTCTTCCTACGTAAACCAAGATTTTTATGCAGCCCTAGTTCAGTGAAATCCCAATCCACTAGTTTCTAGGCTTTTTTTTTCCTCCAGCAGCCAGCAAGCTCCCAATGGGTCTCCCAATGGGCAACAGGGAGCTTGCTGGCTGCTGGAGGAAAAAAGAAAAAGCCTAGAAACTAGTGGATTGGGATTTCACTGAACTAGGGCTGCATAAAAATCTTGGTTTACGTAGGAAGAACCTGGCTAAAGAAAAATACACATAAAAACCTACGAAAAGAAAAGAAAACATATATATATTATAGTATATATTATAATATATATATATATATATATATAAGGAAGCTCTGTGTCCTGAGCAGCCATTGGGCAACAGGCTTTGTGAAGACTCAGCAACTCTTTCAGGTCATGTCATTGCTACTGACAACAAATGTTGCTGTTGTTAGTGTTGGTCTGACGTGGAGGACCTAAAGAAGGTCTCAGAGCCAGAGGCAACAAGAATGGGATTCAGTTGCCTTCAGCCTGAGGGAGAAGGACCATCTGAGGTCACCCAGGTGTCTTCTGTATCTGGAACTTGAGTTCCCACCCTGCTCAGAGGCCAGCCCCTTCCCCACTGGACCCCCTTGGAGTCTGATGGGGCAAGAATCCCCTAGGAAACCTCTAGACTGGAGTTCTGACCCAAATCTGGGTTTCCAGCTGTGAAGCCTGTCCCTTCCCCATTACACCATGTTGGCCCTGATAATCATTAACAAAATAAATGAAGCCCTTCTCCACCCTTCTTGGCCTTCTTGACATGTTCAGAAGCTCTACAACCTTATGCCCTTTGAGCAATGGCTAGGTAGGCCCGTTGCAGCTCCCCATAGCTTAGAGCCCCCAAGGTGTAAGCTCAGCCCTTATAGGAAAGGCCATGTTGGATGTAGCTGTCTCCCCAGCAGAGTTCCTGAACCATAGCAGCTTTAAGGTGGGTGGACTTCAACTCACAGAATTCCCCAGCCAGCTGAGCCATCTTAATTCACCCAAATTGTTGAGATATTCAGAAACATTGCCTAGGAGGTAGTCCATTTGCCTGCACCCATCTCCAGCATCCACTTGATCTTCATCCGACCTTCTCCCTCTACAGAGCTGGTGGACTGTGACCTTATAGACAAAGCCTGTGGAGGCGGCTTGCCTTCTAACGCCTACGAGGCTATTGAGAAGTTGGGTAAGTCTGTGGGGTCCTTGGTGCTCTCTGAGCTTGGTTGCTTTCTTGCAGATGTTTCACTACCCAACTGGGTATCATCAGTGCTGGAATGGACTGGGATTTTAGGAGAGGAGGAGGAGGAGGAGAGCTGTGGGGTCCTTGGTGCTCTCTGAGCTTGGTGGTTTTCTTGCAGACATTTCACTAATTATGTAACATCATCAGTGCTGGAAGGGAGTGGAATTTTAGGAGAAGAGGAAGAGAAGGACTGTAGGGGCCTTGGTGCTCTCTGAGCTTGGTTGCTTTCATGCAGATGTTCCATTGCCCAACTGAATATCACCAGTGCTGGAAGGGATTGGGATTTTAGGAGAAGAAGAAAAAGAGGAGGAGGATTAGGGTGTCCTTGGTGCTCTCTGAACTTGGTTGTTTTCTTGCAGATGTTTCATTAACTGTACTGGGAGGGGAGGCAGTTTGAGAAGTAGAACAAGAGTAGGAGGAAGAGGCTAAATTGGCCTTTGCTTCAGCCCGAACTCTGGGACTTTTTAAGCAGAGAACAAGGCCAGGCTTTCTGGGCAACTCAGTGAAACAGGTTTAGGTTTAGGTTTAGGTTTATTTGATTTGTATACCGCCCTACTCCCGAAGGACTCAGGGCGGTGAACAGCCAACAATAAAATACATAAATACACAAAATTTAAAAACCCGATAAAATCAAATTAAATTATTTGGCCCAGACAAATTAAAATGCCCCAATAATTTAAAAACAGATTAAAATTTACGTATTTAAAAAGGGAAGAGATCAGGCCAAGCCCGCTTGATGGAATAAAAAGGTTTTCACAGCACGGCGGAAGGAGCGCAGATCCGGGATCCTCCGTATCTCCGGGGGGAGCTCATTCCAGATGGTAGGTGCCCCCACAGAGAAGGCTCTCCCCCTAGGGGCCGCCAGTCGACACTGTTTGGCTGACGGCACCCGGAGGAGTCCCTCCCTCAAATTGTTTTGTGTGGTGTTTTGCTGAGTGGGCAGTCCTGGACTGGTGATTTTGAGGCCATCAACTTGTGAAGCTTCTGCTACCCAGTTTTTTCAAGCAAAAGTCTGCTTTGTCCTTTTGGGTATCATGTGAGGTTAATAGTTGGTGGGTCAAAATTAAGGGGGGGGGGTAAGGATGAGTATTTCACAACCACAATTAAGCCCAAAATTTCTGTTGTTAAGTGAGACATCTGTTCAGTGAGTTCTGCCCCCATTTTACGACCTTCCTTGCCACACTTGTTAAGTGAAACGCTGCAGTGGATAAGTTAGAAACAAGGTTGGTAAGTGAATCCGGCTTTCCTCGTTGATTTTGCTTGTCAAAAGGTCGCCCAAGGGACGCAGCAACGGTCATAAGTATGAGCCATTTGCCAAGCAGCTGAGCTTTCATGTGACCTTGAAGATGCTGTAATGATCATCAGGGTGAAAAACAATCATAAGTCACTTTTTCCAGTGCCGTTGTAACTTTGAACGGTCACTAAATGAACTGTTGTAAGTCGAGGACTAGCTGTATTCTAGTGTATTGCGCTTTTTTCTTCTCAGACTTAAAAATAAGAATTGCATGACAACCTTTGGAAGCTGGATCCAAGACCTGAGGTTGTTCAAATGTTTGGGACTTGGTTTTCCTAATGATAAGGGAAGAATTTTTCCTGTTTTCAACATGGCTCTAAAGCAGGGGTCTCCAACCTTGGCAGCTTTAAGCCTGGAGGACTTTAACTCCAGCTGGCTGGGGAATTCTGGGAATTGAAGTCCTCCAGGCTTAAAGTTGCCAAGGTTGGAGACCCCTACTCTAATGTCTGTTTGCTTCCCAACTGTAGCCTCTGTTTCCCCTCTGATTTTCCCAAGTTCCTTCTGGAACCTTCCTTGATGAGGTTTCTGCCTTGCATTCCTCCAGGGGGCTTGGAGACCGAGGGAGATTACAGCTACCAAGGTTTCGAACAAAACTGTGGCTTCTCCAAGGAGAAAGTGGCCGTTTACATCAACAGCAGCGTGGCCATCTCCCAGGACGAGAGCGGTGCGTTCTACGTCTTTTGCTTAGTTAGCTTTTGGGAAAGAAATTGTTTACAAAGTAAAAAACAGTACAATCTTTTTTTTAAAAAAAGAAAGTAAAGTAAAAGAAAAATGATAAACAGAATAGAAATGGAAAGGAAAGGAAAAGGAAGGAGAAAAGGAAGGAAGGGAAAGGAAGGGAAAAGGAAAAAGAAGAAGAAAAAGGGGAAGGGAAGGAATTAAAAAAAGGAAGGGAAGGAAAGGAAAAAGGGAAGGAAAATAGAAAGAAGGGGGGAAGGGAAGAGAAGTGAAGTGAAAGGAAAGGAAAGGCTTAACTTATGATTACAATATCATTATAATTCCGTTCACAATTTTGATCATAAATTGAGGACTACCTATATAAGTGATGTAACCCCTGCAGTGCACGTATATCCACACTTGTAAGGAGTTTTCACTTGAAATGAATGATGTGTGAGAGATTTTCTGTTATGGGGGAAAGGGTGGGACCTCAGGCAGCCCCCTCCCCTTCCTTAGGTGCCCCTCCGTCTTACCTATGCTCCTTTCTTCTTGGACAGAGATTGCAGCTTGGCTGGCCAAGAACGGTCCCATCTCCATTGCTCTGAACGCCTTTGCTATGCAGGTGAGAGACTCCCAATCAATCAATCAATCAATCGATCAATCAGAATAGAGCTGGAAGGGACCATGGAGGTCTTCTAGTCCAACCCCCTGCTCAAGCAGGAGATCCTATACCATTTCAGACAGGTAGCTGGTCCAGTCTCTTCTTAAAAACCTCCAGTGTTGGACCACCCACAACTTCTGAATGCAAGCTATTTCACTGTTTTAATTGTTCTCACTGTCAGGCAATTTCTCCTTAGTTCCAGGTTGCTTCTCTCCTTGATTCGTTTCCATCCATTGTCTTGCCTTCTGGTGCTTTGGAGAATAAATAGACCCCCTTCTCTCTGTGGCAGCCCCTCAAATATTGGAAGACTGCCATCAAATCCCCCCTAGTCCTTCTCTAGACTGGCTAAAGCCAAATCCTGCAGCCGTTCTTCATATGTTTCTGTCTCCAGGCCCTTTATCTTTTTAGTCGCCCTTCTCTGAACTTTTTCCAAAGTCTCAACATCTTTTTTTAGTACGGTGACCAAAACTGGATGCAGTATTCCAGCTGTGGTCTTACTAAGACTTTAAAAAGTGGTACTAATACTTGGCGGCGGCTGCAGACTGCTCATTTTTAAGTGATTGTCCACTAGGACTCCAAGGTCCCTCTCACCAGTTATTGTTTTGAGCCAGGTCTCGCCTAATTTGTACTTATACCTTTGATTTTTCCTGCCTAAATGTTAAACTTTGCTTTTCTCCTCATTAAAATTCATTTTGTTGGATAGGGCCCATTGTTCAAGTCTGTCAAGATCTTTTTTGGATCCTGAGCTTGTCTTCAGCACCAAAAGATGCTGAGACCCTAGAAAGTCTGCAGAGAAAATAGTTAGATGGTTAGGGGACTGGAGGCTAAAACATATGAAGAACAGTTGCAGGGAATGAGTATGTCTAGTCTAAGAAAGAGAAGGATTAGGGATGAGCTCATAACTGTGTTCCAATATTTGAAGGGCTGCCACAAGAAGAAGGGGCCCACCTATTCACCAAATCTCCAGAGGGCAGGACAAGAAATAATAGGTGGGAGTATTTTTTTTAAAGACATATCCAACCTAGAATTAAGGAGAAATTTCCTAACAATGAGAACAATTAACCAGTGGAACGGCTTGCCTTGGGAAGTTGTGGGTGCTCCATCTTTGGAGATTTTAAAGAAGAGACTGGACAGCCACTTGTCTGGAATGGGGGGTAAAGGTGTGTAACCTTAGGAACTTTTAAGACTTGTGGACTTCAACTCCCAGAGTTCCCCAGCCAGGGAAGTTGAAGTCCACATGTCTTAAAGTTCCAAGGTTGGACATCTGCTTGAGCAGGGGATTGGAGTAGGACCTCCAAAGCCTTCCAACTCTCGGTATTCTGTGGTCTCGCTTGTCATAATTACATGTTAATTTGCTTTTTTCTTCTTTCTCTCTCTCCAGTTCTACCGTAAAGGCATTTCCCACCCCTTCTTCGTGCTCTGTAATCCCTGGATGATCGACCATGCCGTCCTCTTGGTGGGCTACGGCACACGTGAGTGGCTGTTTTGGGTTGAGAAAATCCTGTGGGCCGTCTGTGTTCGTGTGTCTTTATTTCTGCTTCTTTATTCTGGATTTTTCTTTCTGAACCTCCTTTTTTTTTTTTTTTAACTCCTCCTGTGTGCTTTTGATTCTCTTCCCTGAGATGGCAGAACTGGGCCACCCCTTTGGAAATGATGCTTCGGAGGAGCTGCCCAAGCTCGTTTGGAGCTGATAGATTTGAACAAAGCATTTCAGGGTGGAAAAACACAAAATGGCCCTTCCTCTCCTTCCCCTGGCAGATGGAACCCAGAATAAATTAAAATGTTTATTTTGAAACACGTGAGTTTATTTTTGGAGCATGAATGCTACTGAACAGAAGTGGATTCCTTTCATGCGATTACTTTGGACATTGCATTCAATACGGAGGAAACCATTTTCACCCTGAATGTATGTCAGCTATCTGCAAAACACAGTAGGAAGATCCCTTTCGGAGTAGGATCTCTTTGATTCAGTGTTTCACAATCTTGGCAACTTTAAGAAGGGTGGCTTTTAATTCCCAGAATTCCCCAGCTAGCATGCTTCAAGATGCCTGACTTCAACTCCCAGAATTCCCCAGCCAGCCGTTCTTCCTGGGGGATTTGAGAGTTGAAGTCCACCCCTCTTAAAGTTGCTATGGTTGAGAAACACTGTCTAGTCCAACATGTTGAATTCTGGATGGGATTTCTACTTCTCACAACTCCATTTGGCTCATTTGAGGATTATGGGAGTTGTGATCAGCCTTTCCCATGAGCCTGCTCTGCTTTCTTCTCTGAGTCGGTCCCTGGAAGCAAATAGCAGGCAGGGCCATTTCTTGACAGTTGTGTCTTCTTCCCACAGGTGGCCGAATTCCCTTCTGGGCGATCAAGAACAGCTGGGGTGGAAACTGGGGGGAGAAGGTATGGGACCCCTCCTCTTCCCCGTCCTTATCAGTGGAGGGAAGGGTGGGAGGAGAGAGTCCTCCAATGGGACTCTGCTACTACAGGTAGCCCTCAACTTACAACCATTTGTTTAGTGACTGTTCAGTTACAACGGCAGTGAAAAAAGTGCCTTATGACCGTTTTTGACAGGACCACTGCAGCATCCCTGGTCAGAATTCATATGCTTGGCAACTGGCATGTACTTACGACAGTTGCAGTGTCCGGGGTCACGTGATCCCCTTTTGCGACCTTCTGGCAAGCAAGGCCAGATTCACTTAACCAAACGTGTTACTAATTTTAACCATGGCCATGCTTCGCTTAACAACTGTTGCAAGACAGTCGTAAAGTGGGACAAAACCTTACTCGACAACTGGTTTGCTAAGCAGTGAAAAAGTTGGCCGTAAGTCGAGGACTACCTGGCTGTAGGCCACTCCTCCTTCTGAGCTTTGAACCGCTTGTCTCCTCTCCTACAGGGCTACTACTACTTGTACCGTGGGAGCCACTCCTGTGGCATGAACACCATGTGCAGCTCTGCGGTGGTAAACTAGCCAGCTTCGTCCTCTCAGTCGCCTCTTTAGTGCTGGTAATGGTATCTGGGCAGCATCTGCTGTGGAGTCCCACCAGTTCCGGCAGAGCCTGGCAGGCGTCCCCCGTGGGAAGCTGCAGCCCAGAGAAGTGGAGCTGATGCCACAGGATAGAACCTCCACACCACACCCACTTCTCCTGGGTCCAGAATCGGCAATGGCGTATTTCTCGACTCTATACCTGTGTGGAATACGCATCGCCCCTCTCCGTGAATCGGCCTTTGACCTCTTCTCTCACCACTTCCACCAAAGTGATTTTTCAATCGTTTTTCTCCTTGTGGGCTGCAGACCTGCAAGATCCTAAGTTTGCTTTGTTTTAACTTTGATTAATGTGTGTGTGTCAGCAAGTGATTATGATTCTGTGTATTGTTTGAGCAAAACAGGATTGAAAAGGCAGCTAATCCTTGACTTACAACCACAATTGGGAACTGATTTTTCGTTGCTAAGTGAGACAAATGTTAAGCGAGTCATGCCTGATTTTACTAGCTTTTTGCCCAGGGCTGCTTAAGCAAAACACTGTAGTTGTTAAATGAATCAGGTGGTCATTAAGTGAATCCAGCTTTCCCCCTTTAACTTTGCTTGTTGGAGGCTGGCTGGGAAAGTCGCAGATGGCGATCACAGGACCCTGAGCTGCTGCAACCGTTGTAAAAATGGACCCAATTTGGGTGCCACAGACCCAAATTTTGATCACATGACCCCGGGGATGCTTGCAGCATGAATAAGACACTTTTTTTCAGTGTTTTGAGTGGCTGCCACACAAATGGTCATAAGTCGAGGACTACCCACAGCTAAATTTAAGAGTTCCTATAAGACGAGTTGGGTGTCAAACAAATCTATTAAATAAATACATTAAAATAGTATTAATGCAAACTTTTGGAACTCTGAGCTGATCCTTGGAGCTCCAACCTCAACAATTATTTTTCATTCATTTAAGTTTTCAGATGACAGTTCCTGCTTTTGTGCAGGAAGGTGACTTAATAAGTTATGGAGGACAGAATAAATTATATTCTCATTTAATTACAGGGGAGAGTCCTGATTGAGAACTTCTGCCAGAAGTATAGAGGTGTCTGTAGTGTGCTAGTTGAACGTGTGGTCTGACTTCTTGTAATTTAACTTAAAAAAAAAATCTGTATTAGAGGGATGTTCTGAGAAATTCCTCTTCCTTGCGAGAGCCCCTTTTAGGAGCTCTGTCAGTAGGTCAACATCAGTATTCTTTGCTTTGCTTTGAGACCCAATAAAATGCACTTGTAACAAAAATATCTTAATCAAAACACCGGCCTCCTTTTTTCCTTCTACTCCTTTCTTACCTTCTGCTGCAATCATAAACGGGGTAGTTTCCTGAGCCTGAAGAGCTACGAGATATTTGCAAGGTGTTTGCAAGGTGCCTGGGGTTGTGTTGGGGTGTTGCCTGAGCTGTCCTTGCAGGACTTGGAGAAGAAGAGGTTTGGGGACCTACAAAAGGTCTCCAAGTTCTTATTTTTAGTCCTGGTATCCCCAGGCTGTCAACCTGCTCAAGAAAATAATTTTGGCAGTATTGCAATTTAAAGTAATCTAAAATTGGTCGAGCTCAACTTTGGCAATGGATGTTTCTTTTCTTCTGGGCCTCTGCAGGATTTCCCCCCAAAACAGAGCCTGTTTCCAGCTGTTTCTTAGTAGGATCTCCAAGGACCATTAAGTCTGCCTTAAGTGAGACTCCAGCGTTTGCACGTAGAGTAACTGACACAGTGGCAACTGCCAAACATGTATGCACTGAACCATCCCAGAAGGGCTGTGACGGTGGAATCTTGACTTAATCACTGTTACTCTTACTATAATTTGGTTTGCACGATCTAGATCCAGAGGGTTGTCTTTTGGCTTTTAATTTTGGCTTTGTTGAACCAAGCAAAATATCACAGATGAAAGGAAGAAAAGATAGAGAACAAAAATACAAATCTTTTGTGGTCTTAAGAAGAGATACCTTTTAAACATCCATAAATTATGAGATTCTTTAAAACTCAGAACAATGCTCCAAATTTTGAAATACCATTAAAGCAAATAGATGTACCCTGTTTCCCTGAAAATAAGCCCTCCCTGAAAATATTTAAAGGCAGAGCTGGAAATCAGGTAAGACGGCAAGAGGAGCCCCATCTTGCTCCATGCGCCCCAAAATAATAAGACCTCCCTGAAAATAAGGCCAAGTGTTTATTTCGGGGTTAAAAAAAAGTTTTATTTTTGGGGAAACATGCTATTAGTTATTTCACTCGGCCTTCCATCCTTCCAAAGTGGGTAAAATGAGGACCCAGATTGTTGGGGGAATATGCTGACTGTAAACAGCTTAGAGGGGGCTGTAACAAGGCAATGTAAAGCGGGATATAAGTAAGTGCTATTGCTATATGATGAAAGCATAATGTACATCCCAAATCAAGTGACAGGTGATATTGTCCCCAAAACTGGTCTCTTGCTTGGTGTCGAAGCTGATAGGTCCCCGGACACAAGGTGTGATACAGAATGATACTTTTATTTTGATACCAAGATAAAAGGACCCTGATTCGAAAAGCTAACCAAAGGCCCAGATTAGAATCTTACAGCAATTTTTATAGTGAAGGGATGGTCACATTCAACCCTTTGCCCTTCCCCTTGTAGGAAGTTAGCACCCTTTCCCTTTCCTGGAAGAGTGAAATATTTTAGGAAATATGAAAAAGGCGGAATATTATATTTCCCTGGGATAAGCATGTTTTGAAGCAGCTCCCATCTTCCTGCCCCCCACCCTTTGTCAATGGGCCATTAAGGCCTGGGCCAGTCTATTCTACATAACAAAGATCTGCCTCCTTCAGGCAGAGCCATAGTAGGAATTGCCAAAGATCCAACAAAGATAGGATTAGCCCTCTACACAATAGCAGCAGAAACTCACCACATGTGACCTGGGAAGCACATGTGACCATCAGACAGCAAGGCTAGCTAAGACCCCAACCCCCCTGGGAGTCTGACAACCAATCAGGATACTCTTTTGGGGCCCCAAGAAATGCAGAGCCAGAGAGAGCATAAAAACCCGAGGATTTACTGTATCTGCCCCTTTTCTGTTCAGGAACTCAAGCCATGTGATCCTGTCCACCATTAAACCATCTTTCCAAGCAGTCTCCATGTTTCCAGTGTCTTTTTCCCCACTTGGAGCAGAACCTAGAAGGATGTTTCTTCCAACACCCTAATAATGCATGCATAACAGATAATATTGATTGGTTATTTGGATTTCAGCCCCCCTAACCTTTTATGCTAAATAGCTAAATGTTGCATCACCTGTTTTTCACTCCAGGTCACGGGTATTTTGCAAAGTGTGCCAGATATTTGGTTTTCGGGTTTTTTCTTATAAGTGAGCTATTCTTGTGTCTAATATCCTGGCTAGTGGTCTTCTAACAGGTAAAGTGCTATTACAGAGCAGCTCAAGGCAGTACCCCCACCCACCCTCCCTCCGCATAGAAAAGTAAAAGCAGTTTTAAGTCTTTGTCTGAGGCAGCACCCCCGCCACTCCCCGTGACCCCCCCCCTTCTGCAGTGAGAGAAGACAGGAAAGAGCAAAGCTCTTAATTGTTTGTTGTAAGGCAAAGAAATGAAGACAAGAAAAAATGTTTTATCAGAATTCATATTCCTCAGTCTCCTGTCCATTCCATCCACACCTGGGTCCTATCTCCACATGTGACCTTTCCTCTGATCCCCAGGGCCTCATCTGGACATACATTCAATCACCTGATCCTTCAATCCTCTTGGGTTGGGCAAGGAACAAGGAACAGGAGTTGAGTTCAAAGCGTGAAACGTTTATTACATGCAACCTATACATAAGAATCTGATCTACTAACAGGGAAGCCAATTGGTGCTAGATAAGGTGTTATGTATGTATCTATTTTATGCGGGAAATTCAAATGTGCAGTGAATTCTGATTGGTTCATGGTTGCCTCTGAAAAATATATAAAGAGGGCTGTTGCCTGTGTTTCTTTGCTGAAGTCTCACCCGGAATTAAAGAGCTGTTGTCACTAGCTTGCTTGTGCCTCTCGTTATTCCCGCGCTACAACATTGGCGACGAAGGTGGGATTGAGGCCACAAGAAGCAAACTAAAAGAGCTCGGACTTCCAGCCAGGATAACGAGTGGACTATGGAGACATATTGCGATGTCTGCCTACGTCCCGCCCAAACCTTTCGATCCGACCCGAGAGAAGGGATCGTATCTGACCAGGTTCAAGTGCTCCCTGGAAGCAAGCGAGATGCAAGGGCTCTCAGTGAACCGAAAAAGAGCCCTGTTCTTAAGCCACTGCGGGCCAGACGTTTTTGAGATGGCCGAGTCCCTCTGCGAGCCAACCCCAGTCCAGACGGTCTCCTGGGACGTCCTTCAAGCAAATCTGAAAGCCCACTACGCTCCAGTTCCTTCGAAATTTGTACAGTGCTACGAACTCCGGCAACGTGTACAAAGGGAAGGAGAACCGGTCAGCGCATATGTGGCCGCACTTCGAAAAGCCGCAACACATTGTGACTACAGAGATCTAGACGATGCGCTACTCGAGCAATTGATTTGTGGCGTTAGAGACACTCGACTACAGAGGCGCTTACTGGCCAAGCCAGATCTAACGCTAGACGGTGCGCTTGACGAAGCCAGAGCACACGAAGCGTCTACAAAAGCCTCTGAAGCACTACAGCGGCCATTGCCAAGCAAAGACGGCCCGAAAACAGCCCCCGTCCACAGAGAGGAGGCGCGGACCAGCACAGAGGAAGAGTCAGACGAGGATATCTTCCACACGGAGAAGAAAAAGAGTGAGCAAAGCTGCCGCCACGAGAACTGTTCTAGCTGTGGCGGGGATCACGAGAGACAATAGTGTAAATACAGAGACGCAATTTGCAGGCGTTGCGATAGGAAAGGCCACCTAGCACGAGTTTGCAGAGCTCAATTTCCGCGTAGTCGCAAGCCACGTGACTACCGCGACCAACCAGAACCGGCTCATTCAAAACAGCCAATCAAAGATGACAGAGCGAGAAAACAGCGCGAATCTCAAAAGCGGGAGACCTACAGCACGCGAATCGGCCAAGCCAGCACAACCGACGATGAGAAAGTCTACACAAAAGTAGAAATCGAAGGCAGACCGTGCGAAATGGAAATCGACACCGGGTCTACACTGTCAATCAAATGTCCTGGACAACACTCAAAGCGCTCCTGCCTAAGTTCCAGAAAGCCCAGCTGTCTCGACAGAAAGTTCGCCTCCTCGGCTACCAGGGAAACCGAGTTCCCGTAGAAGGCGTGGGCACGTTCCGGGTCACCTACGGTGAGTTCCAGAAAGAGCTGCCCCTGACCATCGTAAGCAAGCCACTACCAAGTCTTCTGGGCATGGCATGGTTCCGAGCCCTCGGCATGGGCTTCACGGGCGTCCACAGCATCGGTGGGCCATCCCTCAAAGAAAACCTTCTTCACGAGTTTCGGGACGTTTTTTTTTTTTTTTTTTTTTATTGTAAAGGTTTTACAATTACATTTTCACCCCGTTTTCACCCCCCTAACCCACCCCAAACTCCCCATCCCATCCTCCCTAACCCCCCCTATCCCTCCCCTCCCCCCCGGACTTCCATAGAGTGTTCCCCATCATTATCCCCTTTATATAAAAAAAAACCCCTTGAACTTTAAACCCCCCCAACCCCCATATCATTTTTCATCTTCACATAGTTCAAATATTTCTATCTTAATGTAATATAATACTATCAATAAAAAGCTATTTGATACTTCCTAGTTTGATATTTGTTCTGCACATAATCTATCCATTTTTTCCATTCACATTCATAAGTCTCTTGTGAGCGGTCTTTTAAATATGCTGAAATCTTCGCCATCTCAGCGAAACTGGCCATCTTCAAAGTCCATTCTTGAACGGTGGGCAAAGCTGCATTTTTCCAATATTTACCTATCAACAATCTCGCTGCTGTAATCATATACAAAATCAACTTTGTTTCATCCACTGTAAAACCCTTAGCTATACCCAATAAGAACAATTGTGGAGAAAATTGAATTTTTTTCTTCAAAACATTCTGCATAACCCACCAAATTTTTATCCAAAAAGCCTTAACTTTCTTACAGGTCCACCAAATATGAAAATATGTAGCATCTGTACAATCACACCTCCAACATTTTGGCTGAACATTAGGATACATACACGACAATTTCTTAGGGTCTAGATGCCATCTATAAAACATTTTGTAAAAATTTTCCCTCAAATTCTGCGACTGTGTAAATTTAACATTCTGGACCCAAATTTTTTCCCATGTTTCCA